CGGTCGGGGTATTCGTTTAATCATGCCTTGTTCGCTCTAGAAACTCACAGTTGATGCTTGCTGGAAAAGCCTTATGGTTTCCGATGCATCTGTAAAAGATAAAAATTTATTTTGGCACTTGCAGCTCTTTTCAGGTGCTCATCCTGGGGAGGAGAGGCGACTGCTCGTCTCCGAAAGATCGTGCCTGGGAACCATCGCATTGAACCTTAGGTATTTCCATTAGTGTTTGGCCCGGCTCCGGCCACTGTTTGTCATGGGCTGGGGTGGGTTCAAACCTCGGGACGACTTCTTCCTTCTTGAGCGAGAGGACAGTGATACGCATTGACTAGACAGTAGACTCTGCTGCAGGAAAGCCTGAGCTATCGTCGCTTCCTATGCACCAAAAAACCGACCAACCAACCAACCAACACACTCTGAAGAACCGAACAGGGATGGACGGCGGAAGAAGATCATCTGCTATCAGATTTCTGAAGGCGAATCGACTAGAAAACTGTTGCTTGATAGCAACGGTTTTACTGACGGAAAATGAGGTTAGAGCAACTGATCTTCGGTAAAAATTGTTTATTGTGGAGCTAGTTTGGAAGTACAGATAAATAGTCATCCAGTAAATGATGATTGCATGCATAGTTGCGTCACTGGTTTGGTCCATCTTAGTCCCATGAGCTCATCCCAGAGATTCCAGATGTGAGTATTGAGGGCGTTGTGCGCTTGGATATAATCGAGATAACCAGTCCGGTCCATGCTGCAGAAGAGTAGATCTGATAACCATAAATATCACAGAAGATGTCCTGGCCATTTGAACCAGGGACTTGGGGCATAGGGTTCCTATGGATGTGCAGTAGTACTTACTAGGACCGTAGAAAATACTGTCAACTACAAACCTCACTCTCACCTCTCTCTACCAGACGTGCACAAACCAGGTTCTTTAGGTAAACTTTGGAAACGAACCTTGGTGCTGACATGAGACCAAGTACAAATTTGACTGCTGGTCACACACGCCTTACGCGTGAGGTGTTACCTGCTGGTGTTATCAGATGGAAAAGTGAATGGTGGAAACTTGAGGAGGTATTAGAGAGATTCAGCAGGTAAGAGAGTTTACACAGGTTGTATTGTGTGTGTGTGATCTAGGATCATGCGAAATGACCCCTCACGAAGTTCACACAACCTTGTTCGTTATTTTGCATTCGAAAAATCTTCTACTGATTGGTGAAATAACTCGCTTAACGAATTCGGCGAACGTAAACCAAGCGTTGGACTGAAATATTGGGGTCAAAATATCTGGTTACCCTTAAAGTATACAGAGACGATGAGCAAAGTAACTTCACAATAAATTCTTCCAAAAGATACCATGTTACCCCTGTCTTGTTAGACTTAGCGGTATTTTATCTGGCTTTTAACCAGTACTTTGTCGAACTCTCCTTATATCCCATCAAACAAGCATCGAGCGTCATTTTGGACGGGAACATGCAAGCCGAGGGGATGCACAATTCTTGTCCGATCATACCTGCAGAACGATTCTCGTTTTGTTGAGCAACCTGGGCATATAATATGGACGTGTATGTTGGTCAAACTGACATATCGGTGATGTGGATGCATGCCACATACAGACCCGAGTGAGTTTGGTTATTCGTGGTCAAATGGTCCAGTTTTAACGACGAAAGTAACTGACACAAGACGCAGGAGTGAAAACTTATCTGATTGGGTTTGCATTCTGGTTCTGTTTTATGAGCAAATGGGCACCAAACCTGTCCTAGTTCGGACAGTCCTCAATTATGGAAATTAAATCTGTTGTGACTTGTTGACCTTCCTGAGACGAAATGGGCTGATCGTCTGGGGCCATGATTAGCGTACGCCAGATCACCCGGAAGAACCCTTTTATTTGAAATCTCACCAACCGTGATCTGCATTTTCAAGTAGCTGAGTGCATGGCGAATGACGATTGGAGACTTCCACCATACAAAGATGTTTTTCCTTTTTGGGAAGCCATGTTCGATGCATTTTGTTCGGGACGGAAGATTTCCCAAACATCATTGTGATAAGAGCGCGCATCACTCAAACGAGTTCCTAAATGGGGACAGGGAACCTATTACTAAGGCGTTTCATTGTGCGTAACCTATTATTCTTTCATCATCCTGACATTCGAATGTCCCAATGCATCGGTGACCCGGCTTTGGTCTCCTCTTGATAACTGTAATCGGCTTTATTTGTCCCCTCAGAGTGATGAAGTAGTTCTCCTGGAGGTGAAAATTTCGTACGTCCAAACTTTGTGCATCCTTCGGAAGTAAAATGATAAACTAGGTGAGATAGATTTGTAATGTACTACTCATGAGGTTGCTGAAAATCCATCGTAGCTACTGAAACATGAGGCGGCCTGCTGCAGCACAATCAGTTGCCTGAGAACATCATAAACGAGAGATTCAGCTGGGTTCCAGGTGAGTCTCTCAAAAGAACCAATTTAGTTTGCAGATGAGTGTATATTCGCTAGGTGAGAGAGACTTTCTCTCTCCCCGACGAACTCCCATAATCCATTTATACAGTTGCAGAATTTGACGGTAAACGGCTGGTTTACAGAAAATGCTGTACACGATGTCAACCGACATTTTTATGAAAAACATCCAGTCAGCTTAAGTCATATCCCGTATGCTTGTCCCTATATATTATTGGGGCGAATTTATACCCCAGTTACTCTTCGAGGCTGTATTCCCCTTAAAGCCATAAAAAAAAGAGTGAATCAGACGGAAAAGTACAGTCAAATGCATTGGGATGTAGATTGTTCACATTGGGTTGATTTTAAGCGAGAACACTGGCAGAGTTAGTACCTTCACATTGCAAGAAGTTATTTTCGGTCGAGTGGAGTCCGAGATGGTCTTCCAAAAGGTGGCCAGCTGGTAACATCATGAAGTATTGCCCTCATCCAATTAGCTAAGAGTCTTCAAATAGGTCCAATCAACGGAAATCAAGTATTTCCATTGAGATGAGGTATCCGTTGTTTTAAAAGAGGATGAATTTGATAATTTGAAGGTAAGTTACTCCATTTCACTTTGAAGCCTTTCCAAGTATCGTGAACAACCGAGAAAATCATGGATGTGTTTATTGGCTCACTGGTTCGTTGACTAGTCGGCTGGCTGACTGATCGGTCGGTCATTCCAAATGAAACAGAGCCCATCTCAACAATGTGGGTAAGCCTTGTTCAGTTTAAGTCCTGGTGTTTTCGTTCTCAACAGAGAAAATTCCAGGTACTATCGATGGTGGGCTGGTATCCGTCCCCGGGTTGACCTGTCATACCAAACGACGCCTATGGACGCGCGGAATATTCGGTTTGCGCTGACCCGTATGCGAATCTATCTTAATCCTATGTGACTCGTGTAAGTCCGATGAAGTGAGACCAAAGGGTGAACACAAGGCAACAGACAGCTCTAGAGCTATCGTGTCTGGTCTACTAAATCAAGTAAATAAAACCGAACAGATGAACCTCATAGTGCATGGGAAGGGACATTGATGGCATGCATAAATCGCGAGACGTATCCTAGGCACATGTATATGGCCAGTTAGTGTCAGACATTATTCAGCCTGTTCCACATAACTATCACAGAATGCAACTTCTAGCACTGCTGCGGGTTTGAGTGCTCCGGAATATCCAGGACATTAAGGCGGGGCTTCGTTGACACAGATGTATCCAGGTGCAACATCCTTCAGATCTCTGGCTCAAAGTTGTCTATCGCTGAATTGGCAAACTCCAGTTCGTTTCCAGCCAGCTAAATTTGAATGTGACCTTCAACCCAACGAAATGCGCCGTGTCCGGCATTCGATCCAGCGAATACCAAGTGCCCGCTTCAGGGAATGCATGGGAAATCTCAAATATCGGAAATTTCGCCTGTACATTCATTGCTTCAGTGCTTCACAAGAGGACAGACAGGACGTGCAGCACGGTCTGCATTAGCAAACTCCCGCCCCTCCACACACATTCCCTGAGCTACATTGTCTTGGCAACACTAGATCTCAGCCCAAGGTCAGTGGTGTCAAGTCGGAATACTATGCTTCCGGGGTAGTAGAGGTCGATGAAGTAGTCCGCAAGCTCTATCCCGCTCTTGTCATGAGAAACGATGTGGGGAACTAAACAAGAACTGAGTCGGGTAATATATATTGAACTTATTACCAACAGGCGGACCTAGCTTAGGCCTGAACTTATGGATAACCGCCCTCTGCATATTGTACCAAGTTACCAAGACTGGCATCAGAGACTACCTACTGCTTGCACCATGCCTAAAAGACTGACCGCTCTGAGCAAATCCCACCCAGTGTTTATACCAAGCTTATTCAGTATTATGGAGCTAACTAGTGAACGCAGCTTATTTAGACATTTGAAGTGCTTCGTTGTCCTATGCAAACATCCTGCGAGCGAAAAAACAGTGGGGCGAACCTGTGGTGTCACAGCTTTGTCGAAACTGCGAGACTCATGAGTACCACAGCAACCTGGTGTCGAATCCAGGCGGAACGTGCCTCGACTCACGCATAGAGCACAAAGCACGTGTGTGCGTCTGAGTCGACATACAACGCGCACGGGCAGTCGCCTGTCTGGCGAAGCCTCCCAAGTCGAGTGACCGCGCAACCTGACTGGCTGTGCGTTCATAGCGCTTCCGCACTGGTCACGCCCCTTCAGTTAGATGTATTGACACTGGCCTTGTCTGCTTGTGGTTGCTACAACAAATAGGAGTCGGAGTTCAGGCCGTCGATCTTTAGCTTACCACCTCCGTGCGGTGCATATCGCTGCGACATACCTGTCTGGGTCTCGCTCACAACCGCTCCATGCCATGAACGCGCGTCTCTCTCTGTTGCGCTCTGTCGGGTGCGCACGTGCATTCTTGTGCGTATGTGTGCGCGTGCACGCCGGTGCGTTCGAAGCCGCTCAGCCTGTCACCCAAACCTGACCTACGCCTGAGGCAGTCAATCTGACTGACCTGCCGCGCAGTGTGCGGCTAACCCCGTCGATTGTTGGATTACCATAATTCCTCGAACAGTCAGTGCTCGTTGTGGCCACTAATATTCAGCCTCCATCATCCACTCAGTGTGATATAGTTTTTAATTGGAATTTTATTCTCCACATTCAAGGTCATCTGGCTCGACTGTAAACCGCTCGGTAAGTGCGAATTTATCCACAATCCGCCTTCAGCATAGTCTCTGTTGGTATTGTGACCAGGAGAGTCTCATCGTTACTGTAGCTGTTATTTTTGTATCAGGCTATTCACAGACCAATATGACAGCAAGAGGGCTTTCTTTATCTGTTCGCCCAATTTGACTGGTTTAAAATTCGTTGTCCTAGGTGCCACCGTCGGTCCTGTAATACTCTATCCACTTTGGAAAACTGTCTGTATTTGATGAGGGACAGACAGGCTCAACCCTACGTCTGTTTGGCGGTCTGCCTGTCCTAGGTCTCTTAGGTTGCTATTTGGTTAGTCCCACTAGTCTTAGCTGTTGTTCATATCCTATTTCGAAGTCCCCTAACTTTACCGCGCTTTATTCCGAAATCATCCCAATTCACATGGATTGATTTACTGCATGCGGCACAGTGCGACTAGTCTTAATTTTTGCTTGCCCCTTGTGGTAGTTAGCGGTACTCCGACTGAAGCAGCAGACACCAATGCAGACAGGTAACGCGGGTAACCCGAAGGACAGAGCTGGATAGAATTCCGTGCTAGTAACTGTGCCGCCTCACACGGACTGAGCGAGCTGTGAACCAGGAATGGTCTGGAAACTGTGGAAGCCCTCTAAAGTTTGGTTAGATGCTGTCCTCGAGGGATTTTCAGCAACCTTATGAGTAGTGCATTACGAATATACTTGTATCGCGGTATCTCGAATATCGTAGCATCTGAGACATGAGGCGGCCTGGTGCAGCACATTCAGTTACCTGGAGACATCACAAACGAGAGATTCAGCTGGGTTCCAGGTGAGTCTCTCGCAAAACCAAATTCGTTTGCAAATGAGTATGTTTCGGTAATTCCATCCAAACTTTACTCCTTGGAGCGTAGACAGCCGGCTTTTTGTGCATTCCCGGAGAAGATTAGATGTTGCTATCAATAGCCCTCCAGAAAATAAATAGAACGGAATTATGGAGTACGACAGTACGTCATTAGAACATGGCTCTTAGCTCGTCTTAATGAAGCGACTGTTCATGTTACATTGCTGTACCTATTCGTCAAACTTTCAGTAACCCTAGGCACTTTGGTTGACTGATCACATAAACCACGTAGGCTTGACTGCTGCAACTCCCCGGAGGATGGTGTAGTATTACTGTATTAGTCCTACGACCAGTGAACTACTTATTCGGAAGCCACTCGAAGCTCATGGGCGGTGCGCTGCTGGTGGTTGCCAGAAGAGGGGGAAGTCGCTCAGTTGTAAAACCTTTTTTCCGTGCCTGGCTGCCATGCCAACAGTACGAGGCATGAGAGCTGGGATTTTGTCAGCTGGCCCTAGCCTAGACGGAGATCGGGTTCGAACTACGGGGAGAAAAGTTACACTGTTGCTGTTACCAAGCCAGATCCTGTCACTGTATACGAAACTTATATAGAGGGCAGTCAATTTTTACAGATACCCCGAATAGAATTGCTGAACGCTTAATGTGTATCTGTGTTTCGGAGCTCATTTTCCGCTTCTCGTGATGTCTATGTGACATCTTAGTCACGGAGTTACGCAGATGAGCTGCGGTCAACAAGGCTTATTGTCCACCTAATACTCAACTGAAGAAGCACGAGAGATGAGGTACTACTGCCTCCTGAGCTTAGTCAGAGAATCGAGATGTCGAGGTTGGACGCGATCTATTGTCTCTCTGGTCAGGAGTTCGCGCTTCGGCTGCACTGTCTTGAGCTGGATGCTGCAATTGTTCCCAGGATTCAGGTGACTGACCCAAGATATGGCAATGAACTTCTTCCCCGGGGATGCTGACCTGGAAGTGACTTATGCCTTACAGTAGAGCCATTTTTCGTGGGGTTTCCCCTCAGGAACTCTCGGCAAGTTGCATATCTATAGAGAATCCTCTTTGGGGTGATCAATGTGCACACATGAAGAAGTCATGAAGTGCCGTTTCTTCAATCTAAACTTCGAATGGTCTACTATGGGGTATGCGTATGCCAATCTGTCGATATCACTGAGGCCCATTAAGCTCTCAATATCTAGTAGTCCCCCTGCAGGAAGTCCACCGGATTCCAAATGCCATTCAAGCAGATTCAGACCGAAGCTCCACGTGTTCTCAAGCTTTGTGCCATCTTCCCCTAATTTAAAGGGAATGTTATAACATTCCGATAAGTGATCTGCTGATCTGTTCAGTACATCTGATGCTGACCGTGTTGGATTTTCTTAGGGTTTGCGAAACTTAGGGTTCTAATCTAAACCGAACTTCAGTTTTTTTTAAGAGCCGTTAAGAGATTTTGTAGGGTTTCGAGCACATCCTGGAGTATTCGTTCAATTCCAGCTGCTCCTAGTGCGCATTCCAACAGTTTTACATGTGGAACTAGAACCGCCTTGGAGACCTGTTAACAGTAGCTCATCCCATTGTTGTTACAGCATTAAAGTCCTTCATCTCGATCTGGATATCCGTTCGCCAAAAAGTATAAGGGCTCGTTGTTCTGACTGATTCCTTTCTCCGGCGGAGTCTTAGATGCTGAATCCTAGTCGGTTTGTAGGGCAGCCAACGAGGTTTTCAACCAGAATTGACGAGCTGTTTGTTATTTTTGACGTGATACGCCCCCTTCCAACGCTTGAACTCACATACCCGTTTGAGTAATATCCCTCCCGCTTTGGTGTGGACTAACCGGAATAATCGCACCAGGACAGTAAAGGCGCTATTCCGACAACCACAAATTCATTCATGCTTAGAAGTGACATGGAACGTGGACGGAATTAAACCGACTTTGTGCACAACGACCGAAATTTTGTTGAATGCGCTTCAGTTCTTTCATTGTTCACGAGAACGTCTATTCGCCAAAAATTCATTTATCAACTACCGCTGCCGCTATATCCTCAAGCTGGGCTGAAGGTTTACCAGAATGTTGAGTAGATAGGTCATCTGTCAAGTTAAATTCAGAACTATTCCCCTCTGGCGCGGGAAATTCCCTGTACACGGAATACAGTCTTCTTGGACAAGACTAAGTCTGAAGGGCTTACATCACTGTTTCCGGGTTTGTTAGCTTCATGCTCCGTTCATTTTTACCTAATTTACCGAATTTAATTGAGCTGGAACATTCACACTTGCAATCTTGCTTGATTTGCTACTGTTGTTTGACCAGTTTGATCTGCTACAACTTTGCTGACGACGTCTTTGTACTCCCCGTCACATTATTTGGGCTCAAATCCGTAATCTACAGCTTAAGCCGGTGGGCTCGTACCTCAGCATCGTTAATTTACGAACACGCTCCTAAATCTTGCGACACTCCGTAGATTGCTTCGTTGCCGCTATCATTCACATTCCATACTGTGCCCCACAGCACTGTCTGATAGTCTATCCTTTGCAAATTGGTTATCGCTTCGTATCAGTCATCTGGTCAACGCAGCGGATGTAGTTGGGTAGAGGTCGCCAGAACAAATTACGTTTGAGGCTGGAGTTGCTTCACATGGAATTGGCACCTAAATAACGTAATTTCGAAGATTAACGTATAGCCTGCGACAGACTCATGGCAGTACGCTCGTTGCCCGCCAAGGCTCAACCGTTGGTGGACCTGATAGAATATTTTTTTTGTTGGTGGTTGACACGTACTATCCGGAACGAAACCAAGAACTTACATACTTGTATTTGGAAGGGACCAACGTAAAATCAACAACAGCGAAACATAGGATTACCTTAAGCCACCGTCCAATTGGAGACCCCCCAGTGATGACTTCTGTTCAGTTGATCCGCTGCGTTTGATGTTTGGGTGACCCTCAGGTTTTACACCAATTACCAACCCGATTTTGGAGTCCTATAGTTTTGCGAATTTCTGCACTTGGTGTAATACAGTTTGTCGACTGGACCAAGATAAAGGGTAACTTAGCCAGTCAAGTAAATTCACATAACAGCACGGAAGGCAACCCTTGTTGGACGGGGAAATTGGAATCGCCGCCCTCTCTTGGAACGTGACAGTGAACACTGGCCTGGTGTGCTATTTTCTCTATCTCTTTCTAATACAGTCGCGTGGTTGTGCACAGCACTCGTGTCAGGCTACTCGACCCTTCACGCCTAAATCAGCAGAAAAGCATGGAAGAGATCACGAAGAATTTGGGTGGTGTTGGTATTGTGCGCTTTCTAGGATGGGATTTCCGTGACCCTGCCTGTGCTGGGCTGGAGACGTTGCAAGAAATGGCGGCTAATCGATGTCAGTGGCGTTCGTGCTGTCAGTTTCTTTCCAGATTGTCTGATTGAGCGGTTGGAGGTGTAGGCACCTCAGTATGCTTGACGTAGGCCAGCACATCTTTTTATAGCCAGACCAACCTCGTGCGACAGTGAAACATCAGTGCCAACACTCATGTTGCTGTCCTTGATGATGATGGTGACTAAGATCAGCTTTCTAATGCGACCGAAATCGCTTCGATTTTTGGATGTCGTACCAAGAAGAGAGTACTGTGTCTGAAAGAGTACACCAGAACTCTAGACATAGACCAATATCGTTAACTGGTTCATTGTCTAGTTGAAATAACTTTGAAACCATTTGAAGTACGTGAAACGTAAGAAATCACTGCTCGGCATCTGTTAAGGCACGTGACGCGTTCTGGAGACCCGGAATGCTTCTTCAGTTTTTGAGTCGGAAAATGAAGTCTAGCGGCTTAAATACCCCGGTTCATTTCCGTTTGTCTTAAAACGAATATCTTGTCAACTGTGGTCCGCAAAATAGCGCATCATTACTACCACTACCAATAATAATCTTCCAGCTTTAACGCTCGCCAATTGGAATCGTTTGCTGGCATAAAATGAGTTTGAGGGACCACCGGTCACTGTCAACCAGACACTAAAAGAACAGCCATGTTTTTGTAGACGTCTCACCATTGAATACTCTCGTCTGGACGATGCCGATGTGACTTAACACTTGAGTCACCTCTATTTTTCGCCTTTTGTTAATTTTATGTCGGCTCCCCCCAGATCTCCCTTCACACTCTGCGTTCCACTTCTATCGGTGTCCGTGACATGCTGACCACAAATAGCTGCATTTCACCTATTGGTGGTCGAGTTGTAATAGCTCAGGGGTTAGGAGAGCGAATTTACTGACTAGAAGGTCCGTGGTTCGAACCCGACCTCTGCCTCGACTTTCGCTGTCTAGGCTTGGACAACCCTTGCAGTATCCCAGTTCCCTGCTTCTTTCGGGTGGCATGGCGGCTAGGCACCGAAAAGGTTTTCCAGCCGAACGACCGACTGTGATGAAAGGCATAAATGGTATCTTTATTTCATCGCTAGTTGCAATTCAGTCGATTTTTCAACCAGATAAAACTAATCCATTTACGGGTGCCCCCTTCATTTGATGCTTGTTATTGAGACGAACTACGAGATCTACTGGGATTGCTGTTATTCAGCTCTGGCCAGTTAAAACTGACGTTGCTTCGATGTACTCTGCGACCAAAAAACCATTCGCAGCATTCACAAGTGGATTTTCTGTCCTAATTCCTTTCCAAGATGGGTTCAGTAGTAAAATACTGGAGCCTATCAGAATCGTTCTCCCGTGTTAGGATTTCTCCCTAGAGAAGGTTTGTTCTTCAACTTACTCATCTCCATACCGATTTGGTCTTGACGGCATACACGGCAAGCCCCATCCGCAAAACAGATTATAATTTGTTCTTCCACAAATGTTCTTTTTGGACAGGATTCATTGGTAAAACGTCAGACCAAGGGAAACCGCTCTGCCTTGTGAATATTTCAGCCTAGAGCGCAATCACTGCACTTGTCTTTCAAGGCCGTGTGACATTACCAGACAAAATTTACTTTTCCATCGAAACGCCTGTGAAACAGTGACGTTCATTCAGCACGTTTTCCCTACCCATGGTGTTGAAATATTGGTTTTGAAAAATAGCGGCATGTGGCAACATCTGGCGGGATACGAACGATAGAAGAATACTTATGTGGTTGGTTATTGGTATGCGAGAAGCGGGGCAATCAAGCACAAAATTTATTCACATCTGGTGATACCAAGCCGGACGGTTACGAAGGCTTGTTAGCTTGTACAATCATTGAAGGCGAACGAAGAGCGGAAGACTTAGAGCAGACATGACTCAATGCCAATCGACATAACTTATCAGCATATTTGTTGAGAACTTGTGGATTCACTTCAGTATGTAGGTGCTCAACGGACAATGCTTTCGTGCGTGACAGTACAAAGCGTCTTTTTTGCCTCACGACATGTCTATTTGCTGCGTTGCTGAGGGATCGATTGAGGAATATGATGAACCTACGTTCATATGCCCTGGGGACCGAAGCCTAAAGGTACCAGTTGTTTGGTGTGTCCCCGTTGCACCTGACCTTCAGGGATCAAATCACTATAATAATTTGCTACATGCTTCACAGCACATATCAATGGTTTGTAGGGTTGTGTTCATTTATGGTTATTAGGTGTTGGGGAGAATGGTACGTCCGTTCCCCTTAAAATCACTGTTGAGGATGTGGTCATGATATGGTCCAATCTCGCCAGGCAACGCGCATCGTTAAACCGCGATCCTCGGAGTGTTGTAAACTAGACCAATTGATACTTTAATCGATCAGGTGATTGCATGCTTTCTGCTGACTGCAGTTTTCCTTTTGAACCCATATCCCAACAAGATTCCAGACGGATACGATAAGAGACCAACCGCATCTGAGTTCGAAGAGCTCTATCTTTTTTCATATCTTAAGACGTTCCCTTTATTTTTCCAAGGTACCTTCGTATTTGCCTCAACGTGTGCTGAAAAGGATCCACGCGTGTGGGTAGGGGTGTTAATTTTTGTTTCACGCCATCACTTGGGTTGAGTTGGGTTCACATTCAGACATGTGGTTTCTGCCGAGAGATGTTCTGAATAATCCTGGGAGATCCCACAATGGATAAAGGTGCGAAAATTCTTAGTGGTTTCATTGCCAAATTGAATCAATAGGCTTGGAGTACTGTAGATTTGTATCGAACATTGCGTCTCCTGGGACTTGAACTCTTATGTCCTTCATCATCATCTTTTCACTGTTATCCACTTGGCTATAGATCGGCAACCTATCCTGACATTTCAGCGCATAAACACGGTTTTTAAATCGGTTTACTTGCTACCCAAAAACCCACAACATATCGTACTAGCTTTATCTTGCCGTGCTTATCATGTCGGTCGGTGGCACTAATTGACCAAGCTGCTGGGGTGATTATTTTGACAGTCTGTGAACGTGATTGGTTGAGGAGTGTGATAATGATAGGACTTGTCGGAAGCATGTCAGCAATACGCCTCTGTTACGCTATCTATCTGCTTTTGCAAAGTTCCCATAACTTTGAAAGTTAAGTGCCTGTACCGTTGCGGGTAATCAATCAGTGCGTAAGTTTAGGCGCTCATCTTTTGGGTTTATAGCATGTAGTCGTGTACTTGAGCGCTTTGTTGAGGACCTGCTGCGAATTTGTGCCTCCAACTAACATCCAGTTCGAGCTCAACGCATATTTCTGTGTACACCGTACATGCGCATTATTTTGATCAATACTACAGAGTTTCGGCGGTTTATCGAGAACCATGGAAGCTAGTACTGAGTATTGTGATACTTATGGAAGTGGATCGGACTGTTTGATGAGGAGGGCTGCAATAAGAGACAGGTAAACCTGACATGGTGACGCTTGGAAACAAGACGATGAGTCGATTCACGCAGGCTCTAGCCTCATCTTCAGTAGCTTCCTCTTTTCCGACAATTTCCTTTCTACCCTTAGACGCATCACCTATAAGGTAAGGCAGAAAGCAAACTTGAACTTAGGATGCCCAGGCTACCCGGGTGCAGTTCAGACGGCCGGACTAACTTACGGAACAGTCTTATTTGCGCTCTGTGAAATATCGAAGTATCGTATTTTGAGGCGGCAAATCTGTTTTTCATAAGTGTTTCCCATGGGTGGATTGAATATGAGGAATAAATCTTGTCAGTAACATTTCGAGGAGAGTTCTATCACCGCCTATAAGGACAGCGATATACTAGTTTTGGGTACGACAGAAATAGACATTATCAATAGATGAACGGAGCGGGTTCCTTGGACCCTGCGCTCAGTGACACAATGGGACAATAGTGCTCTCAAGTAGGACAGCCACTTCCGTTAGGGTGTGGAAATGACATGCAGCTGACAAACGAGGGTTAAGCGGTTGTCTCATTCAGACTTCAGTTACACGCGCACGCGCACATAAAATATGCACATGACTGTAGACGCTTTACCACAGGGCTCTGTTCACGATAGATGTTGACAAGGTAACGTTCGATTCTGTGCCGTTCGACGTATTTCGGAATTTCATAGGGACACCATATCCAACAACAATAGTCTTTTGGAAATCAGATCCTTGGGGTGCTTCACATAAATTGATCCAAACTTACCAGGTAGCTTGAAGCTTGAACAGCAATAGGTTACTTAACCTTAACGGTTAGCCGTCGTAGTTGTCCTTGTTACTCGACCGATTCCGCTTACCACAATCGGCCAAAGGTTATCCATCTCTTCGTTTGTGAAGAAAATAGATGCTTCTCTTCAGAGGTATAGCCGTCGTGAGTTTGACGAGGATTGTGTGTGTGTGTGTGTGTGTGAGGATTAGGGTACTGCTTGGTATGCCTGATAGCTTTCGACGAAGACAGTGTGGTGGTGTGGGTAGATCATCGTCAAAATGAAATGGTGGGAGTAGAAAGCTCGGATGAATACTACTTGCTACCTAACGAATGCGCCTTTGGCATACGCATGTATATGAGTTCTGAATGAAGTCCATTTTCCCATCGCGTAGCTTTCTGTCGAAGGTGAAGCTTTGAGAGCAATTTCTATTGGTCTTGTAACTGACATCATCATCCCACAAGTACTTTCGGACGTTTTTGCGCAGAAAATGTCAGCGGTTGCCCACACTAAGCCTCTTCCATGATATCAGAAGTTGACCGTTTCTCCTTGACCTTGTTTTCAAAATTTTCAAGCTTTTGGTATCACATTTTTCAAATGGTCTCTGTGTGGTGATTTGCATATTCATCAGTCAGCCGTTTACTATCCACTCTATATTGCACAAGTTGGATAGAGAGAGAACAGTTGGTAGATCACTGAAACTGCGATTTCAACATTCGACTGTTATCTACTGTTTTCAACTTATTCGACGACTTTTTCTGTAGTGCTTTAGTGTTTTGAACGATTAGTTTTAGGCGCAAAGTTATCTGGAGATTTTTTCTGAATTTCTGTCCGTTTCCGTTTTTATCGGATGAGAACAACAGCACTAAAGTATATGCCATACTTATATGTTGAATAGGATACGTATTCTGCGCGTAAGCAGTTACTGATTTCCATACTTAACTGTTTCAGACATCCGCACAAACCCATAAGCAAGGTGAGACCAAACACCTTCCTGCCACTTTGGAAGTCATTCTGAGCACGTAGATGTGGACCATTGGGCCAGTAAATCGGCGCCCTATTTTCTGATTTCTCACGAATTGCAAAGCGTATGGCCGCTTCCCAAACCAGCGTTGATCCGGTTGCTGCTGCCGTATCCAGTTGGTCACAAACCTTATCAACAAACCAGGTTAATACCTCCACCCAACTCAACGTGACAAACGCGAACTCGAACAATTTCATAAACACTGTCTCTCTTACTCCTCTAAGTGCTTTCGATCCGAACAGTAGAACGGGTGGTGTGATCACGAACGTACTTTTCTCACAAGCATGCCTGATGCCAAAACTCGAAGCCGAGAGCAATATCGGTTCGTTTCTGACCCAATCGTCGGGACCTACCATACTGCAACCACACACTGTCCCCATTCTAGACGCGGCTCAAACGCTACAGACCGTGTCAAACCAAGGCCTGAGCAACCTCTTGAGCAGTCTTGCATCAAATCTATCTGCTGCCACAACACCAGCCATTCCTGTTGGTAAGACCTCCAACGCTCAGCTGTTACAACTTCTGCGAAGCGTCGGGTCATTGCCGGCAAATTCCGCACCTGCACCTGTCTCTTCCACCGCAAACGAGTTGACCTTGACGTCGGTTGTTCCACATAATGCACATACAGACGGTACTGGTCCTACTCTGCGGAGCCCCACAGCCGTCAACCCAACCAATGACCGAAATCCAACCTCTGGCAATCTGGCAACCGATGTTTCTGTGGTAAATAATTTACCTTCCGGTGGAAACACCGTGTCTGCGACTGTCCAAGATTTGACCGCATTGCTTGCCCAGTCGGGGTCGAGTATGAACGATTTCCTGTACTGTTTACTTCAATCTGCTTTACTCAATCATGTGGTGAGTTCGAGAAGCTTGCTGTGTAGTCTCTGTAGTTCTGAGTCGTATACTTTATCTTTTGGTTGGGTCATCACGCTTTGCGTGCGAATCAACTTAAACTAAAGAGTTGTGCTTCATTTCGTATTATGATTTCGTAATTTTTTAAATCGCGAAAATCAACATCCTGTGAGTTTCGCCGTCCAGTCATCATTTCGAAACATAGTCACTTTAGAATAGCCCTCATCCCCATTTCCCACTTTCATAGAGTATTTCCTCCCCGGAGTGTCCACCTCATGGTACTAACTAAAAGCAGTTCCTTTTGGGAGTGTAGTTAGCCGTTGAAATACACTTGAAGGGTCTAACGAAAACAGCCTCTTCTAAGGGATCATTCTCTTGTAAGTGGACTTTCAGAGATGGAGACAGCCGTAGAGTATCAATACAAGGACTTCACTAGTCGGGAAATTTTTTGGCTTACATTGTTTTCAAAAGAGTTTGGTTCGCTGCTATCCACCATTTTACTATTTGTTTCCAGAGAAATCTGAATGTTTCCAGTCTGCCGGGAACCAGCTTCCTCGGTTTCGATCCAAACTAGACAGCTTTATTCTTCACATTTGTATCGTGCGTTGGTTCTCGTTTTCTCAACTTTTGACTTGGGACATTGCTTGCATTCGGAGTCTTTGTTCATGTGAGCTTTTCTTGACCAGCTTATCTAACTGGCGGGTCGCGGACCGACTGATACGTTCGACCCGGAGCGCGTGCTATCGTGCGTGCAGATGCGCTTGTGTGCGTTTGTGCGCGAGGTACTACGCTAAACAAATTCAGGACGACAGATGTGTGCCTTCAGGTTCAAAACTTGTGACCAACGTTAGCCTGTACCCTGGTCATGTGACGTCGCAGGCAGTGCATTCGCAAGTGGCACACTTTCTGCGTAGGTACTGTGCGCGCGCTTAGGCACAAGGTACGTGTGCTTATGTGATGTGATGTGACGGAGACCCAGTCGACTATTCCATTTTCGTGGTGCCTGTGCCGCACTCCGGAGTTTCGTGATAACATTTTCTTACATTGTAGAGGTCAACTCTCATTAGTGCAGATGATGCATACCCACGGTCAGATTTGACACAGTGAGACTGCATTTCCTTGTGTATGGCATTTCTCTGACCGCTCTACCGGCTATACTCTTTGTAAGGTAGTCTACAAATGTAACGGAAGTGGAGGCCTATATTTCCCATGTATACACTTCTCGTTTACCGCATTTAGTCAAAGCACTCTGTCTTTCACACTCAGTGAAACGGCACACACATAGTTGCACAAAGTAGGACTTGGCATAGGCGGATGTTCTTACCAAACTCATTGAACAGATTACATCTGGTTGGTATGAGTAAGCAGATGTTACGGTCCGAAGTACTTCACCCCCCTCACCGAACGGACCGGATGCACTGTCAGTCGAATCTTCCAACTGAACCGGTCGACCTTTCGTGTCTTCGTCCGCAGTATTTGCTCCCCACAGGGTGACTACATTCGCACCCTAGATAATAGTCACAAGCGTGTCATATTACGACCACGTATGGCTTGGTAATTGATCTTTGTACCATGTGTCGTATCCTACTCAGTTCAGTTTATTTGAATTTGGAAAGCCAAAAGCCCAAATGTCGTCCGTGGGCACAGTGACATCGTAGCGTTTGTATGAATTCAGATAGAATTTGCGTGTCGATTGAGTGCCACTATAGGACCGCTTAACAACTTATTGTCTTCATCCCCACCTTCGAACGTGCGTGACTTCGTTGGTTGTTGGGCGTTTACTGGTGTGGCTATAAAATCACCCCGATGCCGTTATATTCTTCCAAGACTACACAGCAGACATTTTGTGAGGTAGTGTGCACCCGTCCGCCTCAATGAGGCAATTCGTTACCTGGGTACCCTTTGTCATAAACGTGTCTTTAATACTTGCCCACAAACAATCTAAGACTTACTAGTCTGCTCAAAGAACACCTCACTCATTTATAGTTTGTCGATATTTCCGGGAGATCGAGAGTCGTTCGTTCGTATGCTTTCAGCGAGATGGCGGGATGGCTCAGTGATCAGAGCGCGAATTTACTGACCGGAAGGTCCTTGGTTGGAACCCGACCTCTGCTTAGGCTTAGGCAACCTGACAATATCCCAGCCCTCTTGCTTTCTTCGGGTGGCATATTGGTTGGGCAGGTGCTACAGCTGAACAATGCTTTCAGCGAATAGCAGCCATGACGTTGGAAGGAGACGCGAAGGATGAAGTGCCGTCAGGCTGATTATGCTTAGATGGGAGCAGTCGGGTTATCAGGGATGGAATCGCACTGGGGACTTTCGGTTCTGGAGATTTGGCCGCAAGTTTTTCACTTCGTTATTAGTTCTTAACGAGCCAAAGATCCACACACTTTTCGATGTGCTTGATTCAACCCTTTGCTTCTCACCATGCTTGTACGTGCTGACTTCGGACCTATTGACCGTAAATCCACAAAGACCTCAGAGTTAGACTGTGGGTGACCTATTACTGAGCAGCCTTTTAGACCTTTGACCGCTCAGCTTAACCCGCATTATCATCTGTCTATAGTAAGTATTGTACAAAACTGCAATACAACCCTGGCAACGTATTCAGGTCACTGGGTCAAATGGCGTGACTTCGTGGTATCATCTACACAGTGCGATATGCGGATACTGTTGAGTTTGTCAGTGTTTATTATGGGTTTGACTATGAATCTACAATGAAACAGGGTAAGATTTAAAAAAAAAGTGTTTAAGGAGCACCATAGGGTTGTTTTGTCACTTCTGCGTGGCCCTATACACACAGGTGGCTTCCGTAGCGATATCCTAATGAGATGCATGTAGATGAGTAGTTGCGTATGAATTTGGGCGAAGTATTTACGAAAGTCACTCTGGATACAGCTTGTCTATATTGCTAGGTCTTCTCAGCCTGAAGTTACGGCACAATTAAGAAAGTGAACTGGGTGCCGAATGAATGTCATTATTCAGTATTCATTATCAACTTCAACTACTACTTGGTGGTAACCTTCGTAGAGAAGATGCGCGCGTCGGATTGTTTTTGCTCATGAACAGTGTGGTCGTTACGGATCACAACAATATTATCAATGGTTCATATCTGAATCGTTTACGAGTTTTACAGAACATGGTCAGTTCAGCCGCGTTCACCTAGACAAGTTTGATCGGTCCGAATGACAGCAATCTCGTCTAGGTTGCGGCTGTTGACAGAGCGCATTGAACCACTAAGTTTGGAGGACACGTGCCAAATCTAGCAACGGTGTTAACCGTAAGACAAGACTGACCTCTCTGCAAACATACTAATCTTTTTTTTCACTCCATCTAATTTAAATTTGTCAGTTATGCCTCCATGGCTCGATGTACACATAATCTACTAACAGGTGACCGCAAGCTTGTTATGATTTTATCACCATATCGATCCAGAATAGCTCACCGATAAGGGACTACAATGACCCTTATTGTGAGGTGTCCTTTTTACGCAGGAGATCACTGCTACATTCCTCAAATAACTTGTAAAAATTGTAGTTCCCACTTAGTTTCAGTTTAGCTTAGCAGCATAAGTTGGTTCGGATAGATCGTTTTTCTCTAATTTTTAAGTAACACGCTTGGTCTTTCATGCTCTAAGCTAATCCGAGTATCGTGTTTTAGGGTTCTGTCATTTTGAGCGACCTGTACGTTTTAGCGCTCATCTCATGTAGTTGTCCACTGCAAACCACTCTACTTGACTGAGCGCCGAATATGGGTCTTTAAAGTCTTGTGGATAACCTTATCATAGGTTTCGCTTCTGCGCAAAGCCCACCTGAATCATTATGAAAGTTGGGAATACAGTTTTTGACTAATTATGCCGCGAAGTTCGCGGAAAGTTCCCAATTATATGCAGTGTATTAAAACCATACTGACGGGGACATTCACCGCACGACAGATCGTGGCTGAGATCGCTCTTCAAGGGAGTTTTTTTCTATCGGGGGAGTGTATCTTTTACAGTTAAAAGTGACTTCATTAGGTTATTGCATTATTCCCATGTATAGTTTATTTGGCTACAGAGTAAGCCTTTTCTATAACGGCTTCGAAAAAACTGCAAAATGTGTGTTACGAGGTTGCCGGTAAATAGTTAGCAGTGAATCGTAACGAAACACTAAGTATCAAGAGGAAATGTGTCGTCACAGCGGTGACGTTTGCGTCAACGGAAAATGAACACATTTCTGGTAGAACATCATTACCCATAGGGTTGATGAAAAGTCTTCGTCAGTCCACTACCTGTTTTACTCTCTTTGGAGCTATCAAAGTGGATATAGTCCCCGAGTTTCCGTCAATCTTATTTCGTCCTTATTCGAACGTATTCGCTTGGAGGATATCAATAACGGGAATTTCATTTGAGTCTCATTGCGCGATACTACTAGTACCACCTTGAAGTACTTAGAGCTCGAGATAGCTCAGTAGATGAGGCGTTACCTGACTCAACCTGAGCACCCTGACTGCTCTTGTATACGCTTGTGCTACCTGGCCGTACCCCTGTTCTTGTGCCTCCTTCCGTTGGCGTGGCAGCTAGACACCGAAAGTGTGCTACAACTGAGCGGTTCTTCTTCCGTTGACTCCAACTTGATTTACAAAGTGGATGGACTCCACTTACGTACAATTTGGTGTTCGATTAGTCAACACGCGTGACTGAAATCTGGGGCTTTAAAGGACCCATAAATGGCGAATCCGATAGTGATTCATAAACAAAGTTTCACTAACCCCGCAAGCACACCCGTTCGGTACTTTGGATGGTGGCTCCTGTGTGGCAAGTTGAGTTGAATATATGCAGTTTGATTTTCTACCCACGCCTTATTAATCTGCAGGCGAGTGTATAACTGCGAGAACAAATTTATAGTCGTAGCTAGCAACTGAGTACCATTGGTGTGGCATGATCGGCAGAATGATCTTCCGAACAGCCGAGGTGTCGGAACTGGTTCATTTCGTCCGTAGGCTAGGACAACTTTATGAATGAT